CAGATTGAATCAAAGATTCACTGATTTTTAAGAAAGCTTTGTATGTTCTTGTTATTCAAGTTTGTTTCTTGTAATATAATAAGATCTAGTTTGTAAGATTTCAGAAGAGTTAAAGTATTTCATTGTTTTTGCTGATTGTTTAGCCCTTTTATATTAATGTTAAGAGTTGCAATTTTGAATTTAAATTGTCCAGTTATATTGAAAGTAAGGTAGTACAGATTTCAGATCTGTGAATTCTGTCTCTATTACAAGATTTTTTATATAGAGCTGGCCTAGTTGCTTCGATTTTCTGATTTGCAAGATCTTTTTTGCTTTTTTGTCTTTTTTTTTTCTTTGTAAGATTAAAGTAAATCCATTATCAGGTTTCTCAGATTTGGATTGTAAAGTGTTGACATTTGTAATTAGCATAACTGAAGTGCTTTGAGATTTTGGTTCTTCTATTTCTATAAATGGATCTGTAGTTAGACTTTCTATGGTGAGAGCTTCATTGCTGATGTCATTGATGACTTCATCAATTGAACTGTCCTGGTCTTTTTCTATTGGTATAGGACTATTTATTTCTTTACTTTCTTTGGCATTAGTAGTATTAAGGAGGATTTCTTCTGAGAAAAGCTCTTCAATATCTATTTTGTCCATAGAATTGCTTTGTTTTTGCTGATTTGTATCTATATTTTCTAGGTCTACTGATAGATGTTTTTCTTTTTTTTTGTTAGAGAAAAATTCTTTGTATTGTCGATAAAGTTCAATAGCTTCCTTGTATTGAGTGCAGTCTTTTTTAATATGCTCTTCATTGTCACAGAAGTAGCAAAGCTTGGAAGCTGCACGTTATTCTGTAGTAACTTTGTTGTCTAGTATAATATAGAATTGAGAAATCTTTTTTTCTAACTCTAAGTCCTTTGTGGTCTCGAAGGTAACAATTTACTGATCAGTTAGATAAGGTGTGCCCTCTATTAACAGTGGCTTAATTGAGACAATTTTGCCAAAGTTCTCAAAAGCAACTTTGATTCTTTCTGAAATAAATTTCTTGTTATCTAATAGAATATTCCTAATCTTAACTGCCAAAAAGGATCTTCTAGTATCAACAAATATATGTCCATAATATGTGCGATTAAAAATTTCAACCTCTTTAGTGACATAATGTTTAAGCTTTTCCTCATTTATAAAAATTAGTTCTAGGTGAGTACAAGATTTTCTATTGATATAAAGCATTTGAATATTACAAAGAGTCCACAGAAATAGGAAATATAGATGGAATAAATAAGGTTGGATATTGTTATCGTAATGGGTACAGAGTTGAAAAAGATGTAATTATAGTTCATATCTCTATTATGAACACGTTTGGGGCTTTGGCAAAATATCTGCTCTGGGAAATAAAAGTGAGAACAACGAATTATTACCATTTGAACTTAAATGCAAAGAATTTGGAGAAATTGCGGCAATTGCAGGAGGTAATCAATATTCGACTATTTTCATTATTAATTAATGTAATATAATTTGTTGCAAGTTTCTACTTTTGTAAATAAAGATATTTTTCTCAAAAAAAAGGGTTAATACAATTTTTACTTAATTTATGAGTTAGTAGCGTAGTTTTCGCACGAATTAACTGGTATCACGTGACTGAAAGCATGTAAAACAGGTTGACCATATAATAATATATGAGTGTTTGAGAGCAAAAATATGTTCAAGGTCCCAAAACTAATCGAGTCCTATTTAGAAGTTTTTCAGAAAGTAAAAATTTAATAATTCTGGACCCTGTTCAATGGAAATTTTTAAGAAAGTGATCATATCTATTTATATGAATTAAAATCATTTCTACAGCTTCAGACAGACGTTGCCTACCTAGCATAGAATATATCCAAAGTATGTAATTATTTATTCTGAATTTAATTAATTAATACAGTCGAGTCTAATTGCATACTGTCTAATTGCATATACTCTCTAACTGCATAAAAAATTTTGGTTTTTAACTATTAACACAAACATCTTATAACTTAAATGCATATACTGCTATGCATGAAAAAATCTCTGATGGATGGCATGCAATTAGACAGTATCGACTGTATTAATTTTACATCGGTCAGACCTATGTCATATGATCTGACACGAAAAATTTTCTAATTTAAGAATTCTAATGGTTAATAAAAAATGCGGAAATTACTACCCATCTTTTTTATTATAAATATAAATTGGTTCTTATAGTTTTAATTTAAAAAGATTTAATTTTTTTGCTATAAAAGATTTATAATAAAGAATGTAAAAAATTTTTGCAAATAAACTGTAAAAGGTTTAATATTGATAAAAGGGTGATTTGATTCGAATAAATAAATAAATTGACTAATAAATGGCTTAAAAACTAGTGCTCAATATTGAAAAGCCTGAAAGAGAACTGCTATAGAAATTTTAACAGCAATTTTGACTAACGAAAGAATTTCATGAACTTATCAAAAGCCATCAGCATCTATCATCATGAACTTCTTATGATATACTGGAAAATTGATTGAAGCTTCGTTATTAACCAGTCCTTAGTCGTAAATATTTAGGTTTTTGCTATAAAAATGACCCACTTTTGCAAGTCATTCATAGCAAAATTCCTACATTCCTAAAGAAAAGAATGTTACTACTTATAATTTTACATTATTAAATAAGTAAAAACTTTAAAAAGTTACTTATCGATTGTGGTTTTGGTCATAAATCTCTATATTGAATAAACAATATCTCAATTGTTTTCCATTAGATCACGAGAATTTTTTGATTCGAAATAACAGGAATTAATAGCATATGATGAGTTCATGGGATTTTTTTATTAGTCAAAATTGCTGTTGAAAATTTCTATTGCAATTCTCTCTCAGACTTTTCAATTTAGAGCACTAGTTTTTAAGCTAATGATTTAAACAATTTGATTTTACAAAAAAGTTAAATAAGTATTTTGTATCTCAAACTAATCAAGACTAACATAAATTAAGTCGATTCTTTTCATCTTTCTGCTATTAAGGCGAAAAATTTAAAAAGGAATAATAATTGTTCATATTTATAATATTGTCCTAATAATTTAAATAGAAACACCAAACCTCCATTAATATTCTCTAAACTTCTTCCTTAAATGCCATTTTTCTAAATTTTCTATATCTTTCTGTAAAGCAAGAATACCTTCATGTATATTTTCATGTT